CTGCCGCACCCCTCTTGTACCCCACACACCAACTCCCTGCCCTGAGCACCCTGCACACCTCCTGCACCTCAACTCCCTGCCCTCAGCCCCCGCTGCACCCTGCACCCTTTCTGCACCCCCTGGGGGCAGCGTTGGGGTGGGGACTTCAAGGAAGGGATTGGAATGGGACAGGGAAGAGGTGGGGCAGGGGTGGGGCCTACTTGGAAGGGGTGGAGTGGGGGCGGGGCCAGAGGCAGCGAGGGGGGGGTTCAGTGATGCGGCCCTCGGGCCAATGCACTAGTCCTCATGTGGCCCTCGGGGTCATCTGAGTTTGAGACCCCTGAACTAAGCCCTGGGAACTAAGAATAGTGGAGTGTAGTTAGACACACTCACTCAGGTTGTAACACCTCCAATGAGCTACCACCACCTCGAGAAAGGCTTGCATATACTGGTTCAAACTGGATTCTCCAGGGACCAACAGACAAATAAAGGATTTTTGGTTAAATAGCCTGAGCTAAAACCGACTCATGGTCTTCTTTCTGACCCAGCAAATAGACAGGACCTCAAGCCCAAGGGGAGCCCCAATCTTTATGGAAGGGTTGGGAGGACTTTGGGCTACTGAGGCTCCATAAGACAGAAAGTTCTTGTTCTGAGCAAAAACCATTTGCATTTTAGTGATGAATGGGTGAACACAGGAAAAATCCCTGTGTGAGGTTTGAAGAACTGTTCACTTGCCAGAGCCCTTGTTGGAGTTGGGGTGATCTCTGGTAAGCTTATTGACAGGCATGTAGGTGCTTTTATTGTTTTTAATGTATTGTCTGTAATGCTTTTACCTTAGGAATAAGTGTGCTTGCTTATAAAGAACTGTGTGGTATCCTGTAACTGTTGGCGATTACAGTGTTGTTAGTCTCTGAAGACAAAGCAGAAGTGCTGATGCTGGTCGTGTAGGCAGTCTGCTTGGCTGGGGGGATATCATGGTGTAAGCAGTGGGCTGTGCAGCCTGGAAATATTCTGGTCAGGAGGGGGAGAGACATATCTCTGCCTAAGAGAGCTGATGGCTGAGGAGCCAGGACCCTAGATAGGGTGCCCTTGCTGGACCATGGAGGGGGATTACAGGTGCAGTTGCCCTGAACTGTGACAATAACGTCTTTTATTATATCTAAAAATTCTAATTTAGAAAAAAATTATAATGTAAGTTGAACCAATTCTTTCCATACTCTGAATTGTCTTCCTTCAGTTGAAGTATTATAATGAAGTTGGTATGGGAGATGAAGGCAATTAATTAGTTATAATAGTTCTGTGCTTAGACTTTAACTTGTACATTGAGTTTTCACACTGTATCTTTTTGCTTCTTTCATGTTCTAGTCATTATAAGAGGCACTTATGCCATCAAGGCCCATATGAGACTCCCATTAATAGGGATACGTGCGATGAAATAGACACTTTTTAAAGAGTAGCAAATCACATGAGCCTTCATCTTCTAGTAAAAGTCTCTGGTGCAGTTAGTCATGTTCCTTTACAAATGTCCATGATCCTGAATAAATTCTGCTAAGCTGTCATCCCTTGGGGTTTTACAAACTATTCTTACTGTTCTTCATGAACAGAATGAGAAGGGAAGGAGTTGAGGAAAGAATTTCTAGGTGTCTTGAAGAACATCCCCAGCAGGGCCGGCTCCAGGCACCAGCTGAGCAAGCTGGTGCTTGGGGCGGCAGATTGTTCGAGGCGGCATTTTGCCCAATCCTAGGGCGGCACGGCCGCTTTTTTTTTTTTTTGGTTCCGCTCCGGCCGTCCTGTAGGGGGCGGCAGCGTGGAGAACCAGAGCGCCCTGCAGGGCAGTCCTCTTCCTTCCCTCCCCACCGACCGGAGCGGAGCCCTCGCGGCAGGCGGCAGGAGGCGGCGCAGTGGGAGAGGCCGCGTGGCAGTGCCCCTGCTGTAGCCCTGGCCACCCCATTCTCTCTCTCTCCCGCCCGCTTCCTCCCCCTCCCCCCCCCGCCCGGCCCCCCCCCCGTTTTTTTTTTTTTTTTTGCTTGGGGCGGCCAAAAAGCCAGAGCCGGCCCTGATCCCCCAGGCCAGAACCTGACACTATGAATTTAGCTGTAGAAGATGCTGTTCTTACCATGGAAGGATAGCTGATCATAGAAACCTGGAAGCCATATGAGAAGGCTCCACCAATTCCCAATACAAAAATCATTAGAAATAGCTTCCGATACTGGACCTGGAAGATAGAAGACAAGATTTTGGTATGTTCAGGGTGTTCTTGGCCTTGCCTCTTCCGCCTTGCACATACAAAATTCTTAGAAATATTGTATTAACAGGGGCTTTGAACAACAAATCATCCCTTGAAAGGCTAAAGTATATACCTTAAAAAGCTCTTTAAATTAGAGGGATATTTCTCACTTAGAGTGTAAGTGTGTCAAATATAGGTATTCAGTGCTTGAAAATATTTACTTTTTATTTTGTTTTCTAACTTTGGGTCACTAACTACATTGAAATGAATAACTGAACATTCTTCACTGATTGCATATCCCTGAAAATAGGATAATATAAATTTAGGACAATAACATTTTGGGAACAAACAGTGCCAAGTACCACCTTTATTTTTCTGATTTTGGGGAAAAAAGTGTTAACATGACTAAATTATTGAGTTTGATTGTCGCTCTAGAAGTACAGGAAGCATGAAAATGAACAGATCCCTTCCAATGTTCTCCCTTTTCCCTGCCCCCCCTGCTGGATTTTTAGATATAAATGAGAAGTACTTGGTACATAGATAAATGACAGAGAACTCACCACGTCTGAGAGAAAGCTGCCCATCTTCAGGGTAAGAGTTTTCTTAGCTCTTTGTTTGTTTTGTGGCAGGTCTCTTGAATTAGCAGTCTGGTTTCAGTCGTTCCTCACTAAAATTGTATAACCCAGGAACTAAAAGAAGCTTGTCCGTTTGGACCAAAGTTAAATTTGACTTTGTACTGTTTGCTTTGCATTATTTTCTTTCATGCCCTTTGGATAAGGTTCAGAACACTTAAAACTTGTCTGTGTTCATTCTGTCATTCAGTATCCTCTTGTAGGGAGATATTTCTCTCCAATTATGAAAGTGTGTAGAAAGTGAATGTTCATAGACTAAAAACTACAAAATTAATTGTATGCCTGTAAGTGGTAGCTGTTAATATTTGATTACATAAGACACCTCTGATTTTGCTTGTTAAAACAAGAGGGTTTAGGAAATGATTAATCGTGGAAAGAGACAAGGTGGTGAGGTAATACATTTTATTGGACCAACTTCTGTTGGTGAGATAGACAAGTTTTTGAGCTTATATGGAGCTCTTCTGCAGGTCTGGAAAATAAACTCAGGGCTTGTCTACACTTAAACCACTGCAGCAGCTACTCCGCCTCCTTGAGATGCGATAGCTAGGGCCTGGTCTACACTACAGAGAGGTCGATGCAAGGCAGCTTATGTTGACCTAATTCTGTAAGTGTCTACACTAAAATATTGCTCCCACTAATGTAACTTGCCTGCTATGCCGACTTAATATCTCCATCTCCACGAGAGGCATAGCACTTAGGTCGACGTAGTTAGGTCAATGCAGTGTCAGTGTAGACACTGTTACTTACATCAACTTTAGTGGCCCCAGGAGGTTCCCACAATGCCCCACTATGACTGCTCTGGTCTCTGTTTTGAACTCCACTGCCCAGTGGCCAGGTACACAGGTATGTGCACCTCCTCTCTAAAGCCCCATGAAGTTTTGAAATTCCATTTCCTGTTTGCTCAGCGTGGAGAGCTCACCTAGTGGCTGCCAAGCTGACCATTCTGGCTCCATGCTGCAGACACATTCTTGCCTGGAGTATACAGGAGGTGATGGATCTCCTGGGTCTGTGGGGAGAAGAGGATCAGGCACTGCTCTGATCCTGTAGCAATGTCTCCCTCTGTCTCCCATTTATATGGCCCCAGTGCGCTCTCTTAAAACCCACTTGGGAAACAGCTGATGAGTCTCAGGTGCACTGGCATCTTCCTTCTTAAAGGGCCAGTGTCAGTGTAGGCCAATCCCTGCTTCCTCTTCTAACATGGTTACAGATACAACTTGCCTCCTTGGTTTACTTTTACTTTTTATGTTCTCAGGATCTTGGAGTGTTATAGATTGCCTAATTCATATGCCATAGTGATGAATGTGGGATAAGTGCCTAATTAGTAGGTAGTTAGAGTATATCTTGTTGACTGACTTATTGCAGGTATATATATATGTACTGATGTGCACTACTACTTTATTACATCCAAAAAACTACATTAAAGGAATGGTATGATTGCGAAGTCAAACAATAAAAATTTTGAAAATACCAAATAAATTTGCAACCTTTATTTGGCCCCTTTGAGTGTATGCATAATGGATATGTATGGTCTCTAATTAAAAAAAATCATCTATTTTGCTGGACCCCAGCCTCACTGAGAGTGCAGGATGGATGGTGCTCCTGAGAATAAATCAGGGTTGTGTCGTCTGTAGGAACCTTGCCTCATTATTTGCAAATTTTGGAAGGTGTGCAGTGAATGAGCCAGGGAATTGCAGAAAAAGAAAGGATGATCTCATAGTTCAACAAGTTTAATGCTGCCATGGAGAACTGTATTCTATCCCTGCCTCTATCTCTGTCATAGAGTTCCTATATGATGCTTGGCATGTCCTTAAATAAAATGTTCACAGTCCCTCATGGCATCTGTCCCCATCCCCATCTGCTGCTGGCCCTCACCCACTGGCTCCTTCCTCTCCAGCTCCTGTCCCTCTCTCCCTCTGCTCTTTCCCACCGTCTGGCTCCTGCAAATCCCCCTCATTTCTCTGCATTCCAGTCAGACAGCTTCTTCCTCTGTATCATGAACACTGGAACTGGAGTTAGAGGGCCCTTGTTCCCTAGAGAGACTTATTGACAGGACACCAGTGGAACAGGAAATGCAGGAAGTTAGGCTGGAAGCAACTGGAAGCCACATGGATAGAGCAGTCTATAGGGTTTAGTAAAGTTCCATTTGTTGAACTTAACTTGGATTCAGCTTCATACTTTTCAAATAAAACATTGTAGCAGTGTCAGAGCTGTGAGTTCTCTGAAAGGCAACAGCGGGGAGTGTGAGCCATGGAGTTTGGTTTGAAGTCCTGGATTTTGAAGACATAGAACTTGTTAGACTATGGACCTGGTGGAAAGAGGAGTTTGACCTGTACACAGACCTAGTCAGGCAGGGAGACTACAATGGAAAAGGAAAACTATTTTATCATATTGAGGAGCAAGGCAGAGAGATCTTCACCACTGCCTCGAGCCTCACAGCAGGCCTAGGAGCCTTGGGAAACTATTGTCCCCCAAAGCAGAACAAAAGTGTGGAGTCACACAAGTTTTTCACTACAGACCAGTCCAAAGGGAGGGATAGACTCCTATGTTGCAGCCTTACACAGGCTGCTACATGCACATTTGGGGACTTGACAGACTCCCTGATTTGGGACAGGATAGTCTGAAGCACTTGGGAACACCATCTGTGGGAGTAGCTGCACCAGGAAGCATAGGTGGCACATGAATTCTGTGTTTGGGGAGGCTGGGCATGAGTGGCAGAAGCTCCCTGGAAATAGGAGGGGCCATTGGCACCCAGACTGGGGCCACGCCCCCTGCTCTACCCAAGGCCCTGCCCATGCTTCACCCCTACTGTGCCCCAAGGCCCTGCCCCCGCTCTGCCTCTTCCCTCAAGGCCCTCCACCCACCGCTCGCTCCTCTTCACCCCCTCCACCTAGCCCCCCACCACTCACTCCTTTCTGCTCCTTCCTGCCTTAAGAATGAGAAACTTGGAGAGAGGGGGCAGAGAGCAGCGAGTGGCGGGCTGCGGGGGGCCTCAAGGAAAGAGGCGGAGCGAGGGCGGGAAGAGGCAGAGTGAAGGCGGGGCCTCGGGGGGAAGAGGTGCAGTGTGGGCGGGGCCACAGGGGAAGAGGCCGAGCAGGGACAGGGCCTTGGGGCAGAGTAGGGGTGGGGCCATGGTCTGGGCACCAGTGGTGTCCTCAGTTCTTGGGAGCTTCCGGCAGCAGCGCTCCAAAGGGCGTGGGCTGGCGGCCGCATCTGACATTTCTTGCCCCATTTGGGGAGGCTAAGCCTCCCCAAGCCTCTTACATCTGCTGCCTGTGTCAGGAAGGCAATCTCGTATTAAACAGATGCTTAGACATGGGGCATGCAGCAGAAGCCTCAAGAGAGAGGATGAAAGCGTTGGAGGCACAACACCCCCAGAAGTACATGCAGTGAGACAACCGCAAAGACGACCAGGTGGCCAGTGTTCCATTTCCACTGTGTGATGCATTTACTGCGGAAGACAGCATGAGCAGGTAAAGGAGAAGTGCCCTGCACTAGGATAGCATTGTGTTGTGTCAAGTTGGACCATTTTAGCAGTACGTGCAAGAGCAGAGCCAGGTCTCAAAGATTAGTCAGACTTGTACAAGAGAGGGATGGCACATCAGACAGCAGGGATGATATCATGACTCTTTCCTTCAGTCTGAGAACGTAGCAGGTTCAGGCTGTCAGGACAGAAAAGCAACAAGGGACAATATCAACCTCTGTGCATGCAACAATGTTAATAGAGAAATGCCCTGTGCTATTTCAGCTGGATGGCAGGACCCCCTTCAGTGAAATTCATCAGTGTGAATTGCACTTGAATAAACCCATTACAAAGAACAGGCACAATCTAACAATGTACAATGAGAACATAATGTAGCCCGTAGGAAAATGTGACTTTGTGATAACTTACCTGAAAAATAAGAAATGGTACCAATTGAAGTTTGTGGTGGTGGATGGCAAGCACTACAGACACCTCTTGGGAAATGCAGCCATACAAACCATGGATTTGATCTAATGAGACATTGCACCACTCAGGATGAATCTGGATATTTTGTTGTCAAAGTAAAGGGAAATCCTAATTTGAAGAGAGACAAAGCATTGTGAGATAGGAAAGAGAATTGACTTATATGAGACATCTCACCTGCACTGATGCCGCATAGGAAGCGTCCAATCAGAATCATTTCAAAGGACTTGGCTGTCTTACTGAAGCCCATGACAAATGCAGCTGCTAGCATGAGCAGATTGTGGCACACTAGACATTTCTTTCTGTAACAGTGCAAAAGAAACTTGCATAAAACTGAAGGCAAATCCCACCTCCACCACTGTGCCCGTCACTTGCAGAGTCTCTCAGGGCACACTTCTCTCCCCAGCCTTAGGCCTGGTCTACACTAGGAAATTAGGTCAGTATAACTCCATTGCACAGGAGTGTGAAAAATCCACACCCCTGAGTGACACAGTTAAAGCCACCTACCCCCAGTATAGACAGCACTAGGTTGATGGGAGAATTCTCCCGTTGACCTAGCTACCGCCTCTTAGGGAGGTGCATTACCTACACCCATGGGAAGCCCTCCCATGGGCGTAGGTAGCATCTTCACTGAAGAGCTGCAGCGGTGAAGCTGCGCTCATGCAGCATTTTAAATGTAGACAAGCCCTTATTAAATATTTACATGGAGGTACTAGGAAAAACTGAGACATAATGGGCTCAAATGTCAACAATATGCACATGGCATACAACTCTATCTGTCCTTCACAATTTAGGAATATACTGTTGTCAGCCAACTATCTAAGAGGCTGGATGAGGTAAGAATATGGATGAAAAAGAGCTGGCTGAAGCTAAAGGCTAGTAACACAGATGTTATGTTGGTTGGCAGAGGAAAACACTTAGAAGACCTTAGAGACATAACCCTTCCACTTGAAGAAATACCCACAACTCACCAAGTCAAACCACAGCCTAGGAGGACTTCTGTGCTTCTCAGTGATGCTGAACTCTTAGTAGCACCTCCAAGAAACCCATTCTGTCATTTCAGCTGGCTAGGAGACAGCATCCCCTCCTTGCTGATGGTAACCAGGCCTCAATAATAGATGCCTTTGTTAGTTCCCATCTAGGCCACAGCAATGTAACTTATCAGGGTTGAAGGTGTCAGCCCTGAGGAAATTGCAACAAATGTAGAATGCAGCTGTCTACCTAATCAATATATCACTCCAGTAGTCTTCTTACTCTTCTAGCTTTCCATAGAATACCATGTCAAGTTTAAGGTCTTGATACTTACTTTCAAGGTGCTAAATGGTTTGATCCTAGGATACCTAAAAGAATGTTTCACACTCAAGGACTCAACCGCTCATTAATTGTTTCATGACTTTTGATTAGCAATTTGTTTTTATATATACGTACTTGCCATATTTTCTAGTCAGGTATCCACTGCCCATAGACCCCAAGAGTCCCCCTATACCAAAGATAGACACAGTGAAGGACCACAGCAACATAAGGGTCTCATGATGAAGAGGAGAGCCATATCGCTCTTGCCAGGTTTCATTGATAAACTTTTTAACATGCTGGGAAAGAAAAAGGGGATTTTCATTAACTATAAACATGACTCCAATGGATTGTTCTTAGTTATTTGTCATATTTTCAGCCACTATTTAGAAGAAGTTAAAAGTGGGCGACTTACTATTAGACATAGTTTAAAAAAGAACCCATAATTCCACCAATTTTTTTTGCTGTTCTTGAATCTGAGACCTTGAACATCATCTTTGTATTGCTCCTTTTCTGTTTCACACTGTGGAACTGCTAGGAGCTAAAGGCCAGAGAGAGTTTAATATATTTGGAGTGGAGTGAAAAATTCCAGAGATGCAGGGCTGCCCAGAGGTGGGGGGGCAAGTGGGGTAATTTGCCCCAGGCCCCGCAGGGCCCCCCACGATAATATAGTATTCTATAATATTGCAACTTTTTTTTATGGAAGGGGCCCCAAAAATTGCTTTGTCCCAGGCCCCCTGAATCCTCTGGGTGGCCCTGCAGAGATGTTACTTGTATTTGCTTAAAAATTGTGATTTAATTTATAGCTATGAAAATAAGAGGGTAATGACATTGGCTTTAAGTCAGACACAGTTCAGAATTCCCCATGCAGTTCTGAAGTGCACCTCAATTTCGTCCTCTCTTAAACAGTTGACTGGTAGTGTTTTTACAGTGAGATTGCCTACCTTATTTTCACTTTCACTGTCCCGAAGCCTTAAAATTCTACTTTCTCTGTAAGGTGAAGTCCACTGAATAACATTGAATCCCCACAGAAAAGTCATTGCCTTCAAAGGAAATATATTTAGACTTTTGCCCTTTTTTGCTTCTTTAGGATGTATAAAAAAGATCTGAAAGGTATTTGTTTTATTTTATTACATTTGCTTGCTTGTGAGTTTTTTACATTAGAAATGCAGATCTCGTCTATCCTAGAACATACTCTGGTGACTGGAGAATTAATGAAGTTACTGGATGACATCACAAAATTTGAGACTGTAAGCTGAACAACTGTGAAGGGTGCCTCATGTCAGGGATTCGTCTCTTCTGTCTCTTGACCTGCCGAAGGCACTCCCAAAGACAGGGGTGGGGGGGCTATACAGAAAAGTTAACACTATGTGGGGATCTATTAGTTTTTCCTGGTAACCTTAGGGCAGGAGCGGGATGATGAGTGTCCCATCTATGCCATCTCCAGCTTGTCCTGTCTTCATCCACTCCCCCATCATGACCTCAGATCACATGGATCTAGGCAGGCATGATCTGACTCTTTGTTTTGTGTTAACACCTATTGAATTCCAGTCATTACTGAGTATTTTAGAAAAAGACGGAAGCTTATAAGAGCTAGGTATTTTTATTATTTTATTATTTCTTAAAGATTCAACACCACTTCCCCTTTATGTCGTGAGACCTCAAAGTACCCACACTCTGAGAACCCCAAGAGGTGTCCTTCAGCAAAACTTGGGAAACCAAACTTGACATTCCTAATATTTCCAGTGTATGAAAACAGAAGATTAAAAAAACCCAACACATTAAGGTCGTCTTTATACATCATCAAGAAGTAAAGTAAAGCAAAATCCTACTTTAAAAAAATCCTTTACAGATCCACTCTGAGGTCTCAGCACTATGCAATAAGGAAATGCACAACCCTACTGCCTTAACTTACTGACTGCACCATCTGTCAGAAGAAAAGCTAGCTATAGCATAAAGCATTCTGAAAATACAACTCCACTCCTCTCCTCTCAATTATTTTGTACACTTTGAGGAACACTGACTTACAGGATAGAATAGAAAAGGGAGGAATAGTTGCAATGCAAACACTTGATGGATTGCCTTGAAGGAGCATTCTCAAGCTAGCATGCGGTCCCATTGCACACACAACCAAAGAGGATTCTAGCTGCTTAAGACTGCTTATCACAGAAGTGTAAGTGATCATAGAAATTTGAAGGCCAACTTGCAGGGATCCACCAATTCCCAAAACGAAGATCATTTGAAATAGCCTTTGGTACTTAATCTGCAAAGAAAAACCACTCTTTAAGCTTGTTGTAAGACCAAGATAGGGCCGGCTGCAGGCAACAGCGGAGCAAGCACATGCCGGGGGCGGCACATGCTAAGGGGTGACATTCCGTCCATTCTTGGGGCGGCAGAGTCCGGGCAGCTTCGGCAGTCCAAGCCTTTTTTTTTTTTTTTTTTGCTTGAGGCGGCAAAAAATGGTAGAGCTGGCCCTGGACCAGGATGTTCCTTATATTTGTCTTTCACTTTCCAGAAATATATCTCAGTTGTCACAGACTCTTGCAGATGTAAGAAACTTCACAGGAACAGAATAAGAATATTGTATTGTCTTCACTGAAATGGTAGCAAAGCATAAGTGGGGCCTTGGTTCTGAAAACACTCTTTCTCCCTCTACTTGCTCTGGGGCCAGAGGTCTGTTATCCGACTTCTTCTCTACATGCAGCTCAAGGAACTGCATTTTGCTGCCATGGAAACCCTGGAGTTTCCCTGTCAACAGTCTGATATGTTGTGGGGCTTCCCAGGGTTAATGTAAGTAGTAGCTGTGGGAAGAGAATTGTTTTTGGCCTCTGCCACTGGATTCTGAATGGGACTCATGCCATCTCCAGCTATTCCCAAAAGATCTTTGCATGATTGGGATTGTATTGTCACATATTTTAGTTGTGTTTTCTCTTATGCCACATGCTAATGAATAAGCACCTCATGACTCTTCCATTCCCTTGATTGTCTCCCAGACTGTCCTCCCAGCTACCTAGGAGCCTTGTTCCAATATTTTTTTCACTTTTCTTGTTAAAAGGATATCATCTAAAAAAGTGTGTTCTGCTTCAACCATCCTGACTGCAGAACAGTTACTCAAAGAAGCCATGTCACATACATAGCTTTGTTTTAAAGAAGTCTTAATGGAAATATCACAGAAACATTTTCAACAGTATTGACATTTTCCCTTTTTCCAATTTTTAACCAAAATTTTAATGAAATTATATCAGCATTTATATTAACATTATTCTCAAAATCATTAATGAGATATTTCATTTACCAAAAGCTCAGTCTTCAGACAGAAAACAAATAATTTTCAGTAAAGGAAAAAGAAATTATAAAAATTATAAAAATTTCAACATGTTGGTTAAAATTATGAAAAATTGTGTCAGACAGAAAATTTTCGAGCTTGTGAAATGGAAACAATTTCAAATTTTTGTGCAAAATCATTTTTGTTGGTTTTGACCAGTTTTAATTTTCAGTGAGTAGGAGGCAGATTCTTCCAATTGATATATTGGTCTTGTCATCTTTAAAGTGCTGATAGCATTAAAAACACCAGCTGCAAAAGGTAAACCCCGGGGTACTCACCAGGTCTGAGAGGCAGCTGGACATCTCTGGTTAAAGGGCTTACTGTTCCCAGTTCTTAGTAGGTCTCTTTTATTATAAATGAATGAACTGATTTCTGTGTCTACATCCTTGTCTGAGGTGTGGCAATGAGGAACTGGCACCATGGGATTACTGTTACCCCTACCTCAGAATATTAGTCACTGTGGGGTGCTCACTGATTTGGGAAGGGAAAGAGGTACATGGATCAAGCATAAAACCTAAAATGTTCCAGTTACTGTAAAATACTTTAGTTCTCTGATCTAAACTCAGAAGTGTCTCTGCAGCAGTACCTATCTGAATTAGAACGTGCCTGATATAGAGTTTGTGCAATGAGTTATGTTGCTGTGAAGTAAAAATACGCTGTTCTGTACTGTCATATGAACTGTGAATGAAATGCCCTGTAATTTAGGGTCCAGCTTTGCAACTCTTTCTAACCGTTGGAATCACTTACTCATGAAAGTAGTCCAGCTGAAGGCAATGGGAGTAAGTGCTCCCCAGGGTGATGAAAGATGGCACAAATTTATCCTTAATCATTAAGTTCAGTACCTGGTTGTCATGGTCTCTGGATAGGTTGCCCCTTCTGTGACACTTTCCCAGTCCCCTGAGGACATCCATTTCAGGCAGCTGGTCTGTTCTTCCATTTCTCCTTGGGACAGGATCCTGCAATCCAGCCACTCTCTGCCTGGGTTTCTGGCTGCCAACTATGTTACCTAGTAGGTCCAGCTAGGCTTGGACCCTGCAGGAGTTCTTTTTTGGGAGCCTGTGGTCAGGAATAGCATGCAGTGACACTAAAGCAGTTTCTCCAAAATAAAGTATGGTATATTTTACCAAAATTATACACAGAGCTTAGAGAAATAGTCAACAATAACAGAGACATCTACACACATTCTCTTGCCTGCGCTTGGCTTTCTCCTCAAGCCCCTAGGTAGATATGACTTAGCCTTGGTGCCCAGAGAAGACAGGGGCAAGTTACAGTTTGCTTGCTGATGACTCCCTGCTGAAGACCCTTGCTGAACCCATTCTGTCTTGGGTGTCAGCCTTGTTGCATGCTGACTCTGTGTCCCTTTATCAGCTTCTAGCTGAGGTGACCTTCCCCCACTATCCTTTCTGCCAGGACACCGTTTTAACCCCTGTGGGTCATTTGATCTCATCCCAAGCCTTGGGAAGAGAAACACATCCTAACTGGGATTGTGCTAGCCAGGTAGATTCTTCCTCCAGTTGATGTCCCAGCTATTGTTGTCTTAACTCCTTTGCACTGGGTACGTTCGGGGCTCTTTTATCTGTATCATTGTTTACCCTTCCTGAGTTCCTAAACAGCCCCCCTTGTGCAGCCTCCTTTGATTTGATTACACATTCAGGGGGGTAACAATTCCAGTTTGAACAGAGAAACAGGGTAATAAACAATTAATATTAATAAGAAATGATACAGACATTTCCCCAATTTGTCACACTGGGCTCTCTGCTCCTTTGCTCTACACTGCAGGCACAAAACAGCCCTAAAACCACTGTATCCAACCATGGGAAGGTCAGCCTAGTGTCAGAGGATTCTCTCATGACCTAGTGCCAGAGTAATGTCTTCTTCACCAGGGGTTCTCAAACTTCATTACCCCATGACTCCCTTCTGACAACAAAAATTACTGCATGACCTCAGGAGGGGGGACCAAAGCCTGAATCCACCTGATACCCACTGCCCTGCGTGGGGTAGGGGTCAAAGCCGAAGCCCAAGGGCATCAGCCCCAGCCAGGGGGCCTGTAACCTGAGCCCACCGCCCAGGGCTGAATCCCTTGGACTTTGGCTTCAGCCCTGTGCAGTGGAGCTCGGGCTTCAGCCCTGAGCCCCAGCAAGTCTAAGCCAGCCCTGGTGACCCCATTAAAATGGGGTTGCGACCCATTTTGGGGTCCCGACCCACAGTTTGAGAACCGCTGTTCTACATCACTCCCTCTTCCTGCAGCCTGTGTAAGAGGCATGGTTTGGGGGGAAAGGGCAAGTTTGGGACTCTCTTGTGTTTGGTTGATCCCTGACTGCTGTGTCAGCCCCTGGAAGCCTTCAGGCTGCTCTAACTTATGGCCGGGGACTTTCTCTGCCTAGAGCATGTCTAGGATTGGAGGAGGCAAAGGTGAGCTTTACATCACCTTGGCACCTGCAACTAATCTGCACTGTGTCGTCCTACAGCTAAGAATCTAGTAAACCAAATACGGAATTCACTTATTTTTGGAGGGGTTTACTGCAAATGCCTATGAGTCAAAAGAAATAATGAGAAACAAGTACATGTTAATAGCAAAACTTCAGTTACTTGGGTAACTGCTTAAATCACTTCTTACGCATGTCAGTTGTTCTCAACCAGGGGTACATGTATCCTTAATCATTAAGTTCAGTACCTGGTTGTCATGGTCTCTGGATAGGTTGGTACATCAGCTTATCTAGACATTTGCCTAGTTTTACAACAGGCTACATAGAAAGCGCTAGCAAAGACAGTACAAACTAAAATTTCATAGAGACAATGACTTATTTATACTGCTCTATATACTATACATTGAAATGTAAGTACACTATTTATATTCCAATTGATTTATTTTATAATTATATGGTAAAAATGAGAAAGTCGGCAATTTTTCAGTACTAGTGTGCTGTGACACTTTTGTATTTTTATGTCTGACTTTGTAAACAAGTAGTTTTCAGGTGAGGTGAAAGTTTGGGGGCACACAAGACAAATCAGACTCCTGAAAGGGGCACAGTAGTTTGGAATGGTTGAGAGCCACTGACATACGTTATGTACTCAAGCAATGATAGCTGGTTTATTGGAATGCCATAGTACCAGTTAAATGTTATGGTGATTTGAAGTGGTTGGAGATTTTTACACGCATCTCCTGTTGCCTGCTAACAGCTTTAACTCTTTATTGGTGTGCAGGAGCTGTAGACTTAGAAGCTCTAAAAAATATCTGTTATTTTATTGGCTTGAGATTTTAAACAATTGTCTTTCATTTACAAGTTTTGGTTTTTCCGCAAACTTTCTAAAAATTGTTTTTATATCATGGTGATGAATGCACAATTTGTGATATAATTTTTGATAGTATTATACCATAACAATGATTTTCACTAACTGGTCATAAGACTTTTCCTATACACTTTGGGCTCTACTTTGTCTTTCCATTGTGTGACTGCCCTTGTATCACTGGTAGTATAGAGCTGCAGTTATGCCAGTGTAGTGCTGGAGTATAGACTCATAGACTCATAGACTTTAAGGTCAGAAGGGACCATTATGATCATCTAGTCCAGTGCTTCTCAAAGTCGGGCCGCCACTTGTTCAGGGAAAGCTCCTGGCGGTCCGGAACGGTTTGTTTACCTGCCGCGTCCACAGGTTCGGCTGATTGCAGCTCCCACTGGCCGCAGTTCGCCGCTCCAGGCCAACGGGGGCTGCAGGAAGTGGTGCGGGCCGAGGGATGTGCTGGCCGCCCTTCCTGCAGCCCCCATTGGCCTGGAGCGGCGAACCGCGGCCAGTGGGAGCCGCGATCGGCCGAACCTCTGGACGCAGCAGGTAAACAAACCGGCCCGGCCCGCCAGGGGCTTTCTCTGAACAAGGGACGGACCGGCTTTGAGAAGCACTAATCTAGTCCGACCTCCTGCACAACGCAAGCCACAGAATCTCACCCACCCACTCCTGTAACAAACCCCTAACCTATGTCTGAGTTATTGAAGTCCTCAAATGTGGTTTAAAGACCTCAAGGTGCAGAGAATCCTCCAGCAAGTGACCCGTGCCCCACGCTGCAGAGGAAGGCGAAAAACCTCCAGGGCCTCTGCCAATCTGCCCTGGAGGAAAATTCCTTCTCGACCCCAAATATGGCGATCAGCTAAACCCTGAGCATGTGGGCAAGACTCACCAGCCAGCACCTAGGAAAGAATTCTCTGTAGTAACTCAGATCCCACCCCATCTAACATCCCATCACAGGCCATTGGGCATATTTACCGCTAATAATCAAAGATCAATTAATTGCCACCCAGCTTCTTTGCCACGTGTGAAGAGACCTCATCATCACCTCCACATTCCTCTACCAGATATGTGGGTTTCGTAGTAATTTAAACTCTGGTTGTGCCACTGGTGTAGTTTTAGAGACATATAGGAGAGGAAGGGTGCAGGTACCCGGGTGCTAGAAATAGCAGGTAGGCTGCTGGTGTGATTGGGGCACTGCACCTGATGGATTGAGTGTGTAGCAGATGATGTGCAGGACCCTGTGCAACTGCATACGTAACATATGGATGTTGCTGCTAATACATTTGATTAAACATAAAAAAAAATGGTACAGCTTTTCCTTTTGCCATGACATTGACCTGAGGATATAATCCCCCAGGGATCAGTCCAACTCACATTAAAGTCAGTGATAGATTCCCATTAGCCTCAATGAGAATCTTTCCATTGAGTTTAACAGGAGTTGGATCAGGCCCTTAACCTATGCTCCAAAATCCATTCTAACTGGTGATTCTGTTAATGTTACACAGAACATTTCTCTGTGTAAGAGAAGTAGGTAAAAAGTCAGGAGCATGAAATAAGTAACTGGGATCAGGTGGGTCATCTGTAGGAGGCACAAAACAGGTTCTGACTCAACATAAAACTGCTGTGTCATACCATGACATTCAATACATACTAACTGGGGAGAAAGGGATTCTTGAGGCTGATATTTTTGCTGCATCCTGACCATACAGACTTCATTTTTGTACCTAGCCCTCAAGAAATCCAGTGGGTAACTGGGCTTATTGTTGTTATACCTTTTACGGTGCACGTCCCTCCCCTGTTCCTCTGGGCTCTATTGCTGCTTTTCACTTTCTGAAATAATAAATTGTGAAGTGAATCTGAATCCATTCTCACCCCGATGATGTGCTGTCTCAGTGGTGTGTTTTGCGGTATAGTTATAGAGGAACAGAGTCAAAAGCCTGCCTTATGTACAAACCTCATTACTGTAGTGCAGCTTATTGGCATTTTAAGCAAGTGATTATCAATCAGGGATTTGGCA